AACCCCCCCCCCCCCCAAACCCACTGAAAAATTAGAATATTTTGCATTTTTTCCACATTTATTTCCTGAAAATTAATGAAATGTTTCGTGTTTTAATGTTGAAGTGTCATTATGACAATATGACATTTTTGGTGAGATTTATCCTATTAAATTGATTTGTTTACATTCCTTCCTTCAGTCAGTCAGATATGAATTTACCTGTTTTCTTCTCGCTGTCGCATCAAAAGCGCTATAAACTCAGCTCAGGGTGTGAAAAACTTCATAAAGTTATTCAAATATCAAAATGATGGCCGTAAATGTCTACGTAATCGTTCGTTTAATCGAGTTCTCTTGTTTACTAAACTACAACAAAGTAACTCAAAGCGATACATTCGCAAACGATTCTCTTTTGATCGTTGCGACGTCTAATTCGAAAACGAATCGTTCTTTTGAGTCGGTTCTTTTAAATGATTCGGTCGAGTTCAAACCGTGGGTTTGAAACACTGATCAATTATACTAGATCAGTGGTTTGGAACTGTAAAATACAGAACTGGAACTGTCTACTACATTTTAATTCACTTCGAAAGAAGCGCTCGTAAAATACAAAAAGATTCATTCGAACGAATCGACTCACTGAATCAGATGCAGAGTTTAAACATTTCCATGCGTTTCTTGTAACTTATCTTCTCTGCATGATACATGTGTGCGCTCTAAACTCATTTACATATCACACACTCGATGTAATGTGTTATAATCTGACCAGACTGAATCATAGTCGTGCAATCTAACGCAGAATCAGTAGCATGCCGCTACACTGACGCTCAGATCAGATCCGGTCTGTTTCTAGCACACACTGGTTTTTATGCTTCGCTCTTTTCACAACTGCAGCAATGCACGCAGTTTCACGCAACATGTAGCCTACATCCATGCATGTGAGGAGAAGCTCGATCACATAAAGCACTGCAGAAACTTAATCACTCACCATCGCCGTGAAACAGCCTCCGCCTTCACAACAGAGCAAACACACTCCAGCAAATCTCTGCACGGCTGGAATCACACACTCACCCGGGAGAGAAAGAAAGAAGGCATTCATCTTTTTTTTCAGTGAAGGATAAATGCTGCCTTATATTTTTAAATATAAAAAGTCCAACCCTGCTTTTCATAGTAATAGACACACGCTCACTCTCTCTCACACACACACACACACACACACATATATATACATACATATACCAATACATCAAAATTGCAAAAATAAATTTAAAAAACTACACACACACAAATAAAGTTGCAAATACATATTATTGTAGAAAGTTGCACATACACACACACACACATTAAGTTGCAAATACATATATTTGCAACTTTATTTGTGTGTGTGCGTGTGCAACTTTCTACAATATTCTACTAGTAACATATTGAAGATCAAGTAACAAAATGGCAAAGAATTAAAATTGTATATATATATATATAATATATATATATATATAGTCTAAAAACATATAGCCTACAATATTTTACTTAATATAAAATAATATTTTACTATAAGCAGCCTATATAGATCAATAAATACTTAAACTATTACTTAAAATTAATTAAAATGTTTACTACTCATCTGATACCCATTAAATATATTATAAAAAGAACTATACACAAAACAATATTTTTCTTAAACCATATGGTTCTAAAAATAATTATATCAAATGAGGCATATGCAAACTTGCAAAATAAATAAATAAATTACACACACACATCAGACAATATTATACTTAAACTATGACTTAAAATTCATTAAAATATTTACTGTTCATCTAAATTAGCTGTAACTTAAGCCAGCATGCATATTGCTGCCTGAACCCAGACGTAGGCTACACCTCACAATACGATGTGCAAATAATATTTGTCTTGAAGCTTTCGATCTGTAAATGTTATGTTTAATGCATTTGATGAGGGTCGAGTAAAGACACGTATATGTGACGCTTGTGAAGTGGCCCTGGCTCGAGCTCAGTCTTCAAAGGACAGGGGCGACTCCGGTGACGTCACGAGGCGCAAGGTGCTTTAATTGTTCATTGTAAAATATGCGCCTCATTACCACACGAATAGATGATGAGCTGTCAAGGCATGTCAATTTCCTTTAATGTCCTCTGCTGCTTGTTAAATATGCAGGGGGGCAGAGGGAGGGGGTATATAAGCTCTCCTGGACCCTCAACCTGTCATTCTGACCTCAGTCCATCATGAACGCACTCGGAGCTGTGCGCCTGGCCTGCGTCCAGCTTCTGCTTCTTGGAGTATTTGGGAAGCACGCTAATCACGGCACGAGGAATATGTCATCCAGAAGCCACCGGCATCACTTACCCACATACATGATGCAACTCTACCGACACTTCAAGCTCAACCAAACGCGTCCCGTGGAGACTATAGAGCACGAGCAAGCGGACACCATCAAGAGCATCCTCTCCAAGAGTAAGATCTGCTATTCTTTTCTATCGTTCTTAGCTGCACTAAAGTTTGGGAAGGAGTCTCTGAAGCTCTTTTTGGCTCCTGGCTGTCAAATCTCAGCGCCAGACTCCTTCAATCCACATTGTCCTCCACCAGGACTAATGCTCTGCTGCGCAAAGCTGATGTGGATTAGAGCCTCGCCAGACATCCTTACACAAACCCAAATCAACATCAGCCCCTCGGCTCTTGTTCACACGTCTCCTGATTAGATTAGGAGCCCGGGCACGGGGCGTTTAACGGGGGTCTGGAGGTGTTAAACGATGGGTTTCGATCCGGTGTTCGTTCTGAAGGGATTAGGCTCGCGCTGCCTTGCCCCTCCGTTAAGATAAATCTAATATCTGATCGATACTGCATGACTTTTCATCAGATTGATGATCTCTAATTCAAGACATGAGACTAGTTTAACTGATGCGGTCTACACTGAGTGTGGTTCTGATATACTGTACAGCCAATACACTCCAGTGGACAAGAGCCTCATCCACGAGGATCAAAGAGTGTGTGTTCAGCTGCACAAATCACCTCATTACTGTTGGGTTTGTGTGCATGACAGTCAGTCCTGGAGAAAAATGCATATCAAAAGAGCCAAGAGCCATAGTGATGGGTTACGTCTTTAGATGGGTGAATCTCACAAAATCTGTCAAGAACAGGCCACATTTCACCCTAAAATCAAAAGGAAAAAAGTTCATTTTCACTTAAATATTTAATCATTCATTTAGTCATATGAATGTGATCAAATATGAGAGTGGTGTTATAATCACATATTGTAATAACAATATCAAATGAGACATATACAATATTGCAAAATAAATAAATTATATATATTTCGATTTAAAAAATGTATCAGTGGCTGATGCATGATATAATATGCCAAATTTCAGTTAAATTTATTTATTCTTTTCAATTTGTAACATTTTTATTTTTAAATAAATTACACTCATTTGCATAAAGATTTTGTTGGGGGGGGGGGGGGTTGTAACATCATGATCATAGATCATGTATCGATAGTCATGCTTCATCCTTATTATTGTATATTGCTTTAATATTGGTTCTGCCAGTGAATTTAAAAAATATATTTCTAAAAGAATTGCAGTTTAACATAAATACTTTGGTTTGTTGATAATAATAATAATAATGTTGTGGTTGCAATTATTATTTACAAAAATTTAGAAAAATAAAATGATTATTAGACTGCTACAATAAAAATACAATAAATATTTAAATTAACGATTATTATTTAAAATATTTAGTTGAAGTCTAGTGATTATTTACAATAAATTTGAATAAATACAATAATAATTAGACCGCAACAATAAGGAATATTTTAAATCATGATTATCATATCATATTTATTATATTTTTATTGTTGCAATGATTATTTACAATAACTTAGAATAATAATTTGAATGCAACAAAATATAATAAATATTTTAAATTATTTGTAATATTTATTTTTATTATTATTATTGTTGCGGTCTAATAATTATTTACATTAAACTCAAATTATTTCGAATAAACTGAATAATCTGACTGCAACAATAATATACAATATTGCAAAATAAATAAATTATATATATTTCGATTTAAAAAATGTATCAGTGGCTGATGCATGATATAATATGCCAAATTTCAGTTAAATTTATTTATTCTTTTCAATTTGTAACATTTTTATTTTTAAATAAATTACAATTTTTGCCAGTCTAAACAGTTTTTTAGTAATATATGGTGTCAAAAATGTTATCAAATGAGGCATATGCAAAATTGCGAAATAAATAAATAAATTATATATTTAGATGTTTTTCCATTTTTTGTTTTTCCATGATTTCCATTTTTTCAGTGGTTGATGGATGATATAATTGCCAATCAGTGTATAATATGCAAAGTTTCAACCAAGATTGAAAAACTTTTTTACATGTATTTAATTTTTTATTTTTAAATAATTTCAAAGTTTTCCCAAAGTCTAAATAGATTTTTTTTATAGTAATATATGGAGCCTAAAAATAATGGTATGAAATGAGGCATATGCAACATTGCAAATTAAATAAATAAATTATATATATATATATTTTTTTTTATTTCAATTATGATATAATTGCCCATCAATGTATAATCTGCTGAATTATATATATATATGAAGAGTTTATTTGCAAAAACAGATAACTCCGGGTTTTTTCGATTTTCAAAAATCATGTTTTTTATTATGTTCTCTTGTTTTTATTGTGTTAGTTAGCTGTATTTTTAGTTATTTCTTAACCTAATCAAAATAACCTGACTGCAGTTTGATTGAGATTAATTGGTATGCACAATGATTTTTGAAAATTGTTAAAAGTTATCTGTTTTTGCAAATGAACTCTTCAAATTACAATATTGCAAAATATTTTTATAATTATTATATATTATAATATTTTATATATGATAAATATTTTAAAATATAAAACTTATTTAAAAACAAGTTTATTTGCAAAAACTGATTTTCTTTTAAATGTAATTTAAATGTAATGTAATTTTTTTTATTATGTTATCATGTTTTCATTGTGTTTTATTGTGTTATTTAGCTGTAATTTTTTTTAGTTCTTTTTACTTAATCAAAATAACCCAACTGCAGTTTGATTGAGATTAATTAGAATGCACAATGATTTTTGAAAATTGTTAAAAGTTATCTGTTTTTGCAAATGAACTCTTCATATATATATATATATATATATGAAGAGTTCATTTGCAAAACTACTATTTAAAATTGATTACAATTATTTTTAGCAAGCCTGCAAGGATATTGGTCATTGACAATAATCTAAATATGACTGACATATAATCATATATGACATATATGTTATTATTATTATTAATAATAATTATTTTTTTTATTTTTTTTGCAAGACAGCAATGATATTGGTCATTTAAAAAATATTCTAAATATGACTGACATGTAATCATATATGACATATATGTGACATATACTCATGTATTTTCTTTGTCTCTTCCAGGTTTGACCAATCAAGACACACACTACGTCACACACTTCGACCTTTCCTCAGTTCTGTCCGAGCGTCAGATCCAGGCGGCAGAGCTGAGGATTCGTATTCCCAAAGAAACGCAGCAAACGAACATCACGGTGGAGATCCGACACCAGCAGGACCAGACCCTGGGTCGACTGTCCGATTCCTCTCTGATGAGCGTCTCCCATCACTGGAGGGTCTACAACGCCACAGACCTGCTCCTAAACTGGATCGGCCCCAAACTCTCCGAGAGGAGAGCCGCGAGACACGCTCTTCACTCCAGGAGTAAAGCTGCGGACGGGATCCGTCACAGAGCCATGCTGCTGGTCTTCTCACACACCGTCTCTGGACAGAGCGAGCAGGACCGAGCCAGTCTCCTGCACACAGCAGAGAAGTCCAAGTTCTTGTTTAACAGCGAAGGAAAGGAGGTGCGGAGAGACAAGCCACACAGGAGCAAGCGGGGCCGCAGGGGTCAGCCGGTGAGGAACCCGGAGCCACTCAGGAGTCCGGCCGAGAAGAGCTCCAAGTGCAGGAGGGTCGACATGCATGTGGACTTCAATCAGATCGGATGGGGCTCCTGGATCGTCTTCCCCAAGAAGTACAACGCGTACCGCTGCGAGGGGAGCTGCCCGAACCCGCTGGGAGACGACCTGCATCCCACCAACCACGCTTACATGCAGGTGAGGCGCTCGTTGTATTTATGTAGCTTTGCAATTATTTTTAATGTTAAATAATTAATACGGAATTATTTGCATTGCAGACTGCATTCTGTGTCTTGGAACTTCTTAGGGTTGTTATCATTTACTAAAAATAACTTTAAATTAATTGAAAATGCATTTAAAAAAAAACTAAATGAAAACTTTTTTTTTTAAAATTTTATATTAAATAATATGAATAAAAATTTTATATAAAAACTTAACATTTATATTAAAAAATGCACCTAAAATACAAAACAAAACATTTTCATTAATTGAAATAAAACAAATTTTAACTTAAATAAAATATTTTAAAACATTATTTCAGCTAGCTGCCAAGGCAACGTTTCTCATTATCATTTAGTTTAATTTGAAATATTAAAATAACTAAATCTGAAATAAAATGACATAAAATTCAGTTAAAACTAAAAACTTAAACTAAACTTAAAAATTGTTACTTGAAATGTTAACTGAAATAAAATATTTTAAAAACATGAACTTATTTTATTTCAGCTAACTAAACTAACATTTTGTTTAACTTGAAGTACTAAAATAACTCTATCTTAAACTGAATTAAAACTACATAAAAAATCAGTTACTTCAAATAAAAAAAAAAACAATAACAGAAATAAAAATTTAAATAAAATATACAAAATTAAACTCACTTTATTTCAGATAGTTGCCAAGGAAACATTTCCCATTTTCATTTAGATGCACTAAAATAACTGAAATAAAATTACATAGAAATTCAGTTACTTGAAACTAAAAATGTACTGAAATAAAATAAAATGTAAAAATTAAAAAAAAAACATACACTTATTTATTTCAGATATTTTATTTATTATTTTCATTTAGTTGAACTTGAAGTAACTAAAATAACTAAAAATTTGTGCTGTCAAACGATTAATCGCGATTAATCGCATCAAAAATAAAAGTTATTTTTACATAATATACAGTATATGTGTGTACTTTGTATATTTATTATGCATGTATAAATATACACACATACAGTATATATTTTGAAAATATGTACATGCATTTACATGTATATATTTATGTTCATATAATTTATATTATATATAAATATATTTAATATTTAACATAACATTTTTCTGAAATATATACATGCATTTGTGTGTGTTTATATATACATAATAAATACACACAGTACACACACATATTGTATGTACACAAAAACTTTTATTTTGGATGCAATTAATCGTGATTAATCGTTTGACAGCACAACTAAAAATATAAAAACTATAAATAAATACAATTATACAAAACTAAAACACAACAACATTTCTAAAACTTTACTGGAATTGAAATGAAAACAAAAACTATAATAGTATCTGAATAATACTAATGTAATGCTGTTGGTCTGTTCGTGCTGCAGAGTTTGCTGAAGTACTACCATCCCAGCAGAGTTCCTGCGGCCTGCTGCGCTCCGACCAAGATGAGTCCCCTCAGCATGCTGTACTACGAGAACGGAGAGCTGATCCTCAGACACCACGAGGACATGCTGGTGGAGGAGTGCGGCTGCCTGTGACGAGCTTCATCAGCGCTGCTAACGAACGATCTCAATCAGAGCTTCAGACATTATCATCAGCCAGAACATCTCAGGACTTCAGAAAGAGACGGAAACACCACACTGACCTGTTCATGCATGAAGAGTTCCCCATCACACTGTGTGATCGTCCGGGGAAAAACAGAAGAAAAACATTCTCTTCACTTGTCTTCTGGAAAATCTGGAATATTACGATCAGTCCTATAACTGTTAAACGGATTAAAAAGATCTCGAGCACTGTCTATGTATTTACAATCACACCATGTGTGGAAGAAACTATGTAAATATTTATTGTAAATAATACATAAATAAAGCCTTGATATTTATGTAAATATAATATATGAAACTTTGTAGAAAGAATGGAGATCAGACGATGTTATATAGAAATAAAAGTATTTGACTGAAAGCTTTTAGAATTGCTTTATCTATCTGTCTGTCTGTCTGTCTGTCTGTCTGTCTGTCTGTCTGT